GAGTTGGAAGAGACCGGAGAATGTCTATGAGATTCATAGTTTCTTGGGCTTGGCAGGTTTTTATCGATATTTTGTCGAAGGTTTCTCTATTATCGATGCTCCATTGACGAAGTTGTTAAGGAAGAACGTGTCGTTTGATTGGGGCGAGGCACAACAAGAGATCTTTGAGAAATTAAAAGCGGTTTTAACTCAAGCACTAGTGTTGACTCAACCTGAATCTGGGAAATATTTTACAGTGTATAGTGATGCTTAACACTCAGGACTCGACTGTGTTCTAATACAGGAGGGTAAGGTAGTGGCTTATGCATCCCGTCAACTGCGACCGCATGAGTGTAATTATCCGACCCATGATTTAGAGCTAGCAGCAGTGATATCTACCTTGAAGATCTGGAGATACTATCTTTATGGGGAGAAGTGTTACATTATTACATATCATAACAACTTAAAGTATCTTCTGACCAGAAGGAGCTTAATCTGAGACAGCGTTGTTGGCTAGTGCTTCTAAAGGATTATGATTGCGTGATTGATTATTACCCTAGTAAAGCTAACATTGTAGCGAATTCTTTGAGTCGAAAGGCAATAACGGAGTTGAGGTCCTTAATAGCCAGGATGAATTTATATGATGATTGTACTCTGTTAGCAGAATTGCAAGTTAAACCGGCCTTGGTTGATGAGATCAAAGCTAAACAATCTCTTGATAGTTCATTACTTTCCATTTTTGAGAAAGTGGAGCAGTGGACAACCTCATATTTCAATATTGACCAGGATGGAGTATTATGCTTCAAAGGTCGATATTGTGTGCCTGAAAATACTAAGTTGAGCTAGATTATCCTTAATGAGGCTTACAGTAGTCCATATGCTATGCACCTCAGTGGAGATAAGATGTACCAGAATTTGAGAGAGAGATATCATTGGATTGGCATGAAGAAAGACATCTTTGATTTTGTGGCTAGATGTTTGACTTGTCAGCAGGTTAAGGCAAAACATCAATATCCATCAGGTTTGTTGCAACCTATCAAGATTCCTGAATGTAAATAAGATCATATTACTATGGATTTTGTTACTGGCCTACCTATGACCCCTTCGAAAAAGGATTCAGTCTGGTTAATTGTTGACAAACTTACAAAGTCAGCCCACTCAATTCCTGTGCTGGTAAATTATACGTTGGACAAGCTGACTAGGTTGTATATTTCAGATATTGTCAAATTGCATGGTGTTCTGTTATCTATCATTTCTGATCGGGATCCGAGATTTACTTCGAGATTTTGGAGGGCGCTGCATATGGCTTTGGGTATGAGATTGGATTTTAGTACAACATTTCACCCACAAACTGATGGTCAATCTGAGAGAGTAATTCAGGTTCTGGAGGATATGTTGCGGGGCTATGTGTTGATTTTCGTGGTAGCTGAGAACTTTTGCCTTTGGTTGAATTTGCTTACAATAATAGTTACCAGGCCAGCATTCGTATGGCACCCTATGAAGTACTCTATGGGCGTAGATGTTGCACTCCGATTTGTTGGATTGAGTTGCGTGATCGAAAGACTTTGGGACTTGAGTTAGTGCGCGAGACGAAGGACACAGTCAGATTGATCAGTAACCGTTTGAAAGAGGCATTTGATAGACATAAGTCTTATGCTGATCAGAGGAGAAAATATATCCAGTTTGAGGTTGGAGATCATGTCTTTCTAAAAGTATCCCCGTGGAAGAAAGTATGGATATTCGGGCGTAAGGGTAAATTGATTCCAAGATTTATCAGATCATTTCGTATCTTGACGAGAGTAGGACCTGTTGCATATCAGCTTGAGTTGCCTCCTCAGCTCAGTCATATTCATGATGTCTTTCATGTATCTATGTTAAGGCGATGCCGTCCAGATTCAGTTCACATTATTCAGGTTGAAGAGGTAAAGTTGAGACCTGATTTGTCATATGAGGAAGAGCCCATTCAGATCTTAGAAAGGGATGAGCGAGTTCTTTGGAACAAGAGTATTCCAATGGTCAAAGTTCAATGGAGTAAAAGTTCAATAGAGTAACTGTGGCCCTTCAGAAGCTACTTGGGAGACATTGGAGTCAATGGAGGCTCAATTTCCTCGTCTATTTTCATAAAGTAAATTTCGAGGACGAAATTTCTTTTAGAGGGGGAGAATTCTAACAACCTGAAAAAGAGAAAAAATATTATAATTAAATCAATTAGGTGAAAAATTTTGGGTCAAATTAAAACTTTTCAAAACTTATAGGCTATTTTAGAAATTAAAGGAAAGTCAGGGACCAAGCCCCAAATTTTTTCTTTTAGTGTCGGCAGAAATTTTTGTTATATACGTGTTTTCTGTTTTCAAAACAGATTTGCTCAAATTCCTCTCCCGAACCTCTCCTTTTAAACCTAATCCCGATGTCGTCCGACCACCGATCGTCGATCCGAAACCACCATCGTGTTCGTCGTCGACTGATGAAAAAAATCCCGTAAATTGATCGTAGTGAAACGCTGTCAAACGTCGTGAATTTCGATTCAAAGTTTCGACATTTTTTTAACACCGTCGCCGTGAAAATCGTCAATTCATCGCCGATCGTTGCTCCGTTTTTGACACCTCCCGCACCATCGTGTTCCTTGTATCGTTCTGAGTCCATCGGTGTCCTCCTTGCTCCGTTGTCGCCGGTGCATGAGGGAGGTGAAGTATTCAAAGTTTCCGACGTTTTGAAATCGAGCTCTCCACCGTTCAAAACTTTAAACCGAGCTTGGTAAGTGTCTCAAAATCGCTTAAAATATTTTGAGAATTTTTCGAACACCATAGGACTGTTCATGCGCTCCCACGTGCCGCCCCTGCGCGTGGGGGAGCTTCGAAAAGGATTGGGGCAGCTTTGACCCATTTGACCCGACTCGAACCGTTGACCCGACCCATTGATCGTTGACCGACCTTTGACTTTGACTTTGACCAAAAAGTTAAAATTTTTGAAAAGACATGTTTTATGTTTTACGATGTCCTGATCCTGATTCCGCAGTCCGTTTTGCCAAATTCGAAGTTGAAAGCCTCCAAATTGTCAGTCAAACCCAAAAATGCATATGCACTTAAGAGTTTTAGCTTTAAATGATTAAATTAAGACTTGAGGCTGATTAGTTATTGTTATTTAAAGGTACAAAAGACTCTCATGATCGCTCAATAGCTTGACCCAGCTCCTCTAAATCCGTTAGACCGTGTGTGCCAGTATTCACTCGTATGACCCGTAAATCTTACTATTTCATAAATTAATTATGTTACCCACTAGTAATGTAGTGTTATTACGAATTAGGTTCAAAAACTATAGCAGAGCGTGGCGAGGCCAATACTCAAATTATCGAGGTGTGTTCCCTATATATATTACTTAAGTATTTTATTTGTTTTAACATGTGGTACACTGAAATCTATGGTTACTGTTTTATTGATGCACTGATTTAATGGTGATGGCTTATGGATTATGATTGCTAGCTGATTATTGGTTTACAGTGGTATATGATTACCATGATTAAGGATTTATGGAAATTATGTCACTGTATAAATTGTGTTTTTGAGATACTGATTTATAAAGTACAACTCTGATCAAACTGGAAAATTTTTATGGACCTAATGTGACTCTTAGGTAGGCTCTACGGCCCTGAGATCATTCTCGGGTAGGCCCTGCGGCCCTAAGATGTGTTCTTAGGTAGGCCCCGTGGCCCCGAAACTTTCTTGGGTAGGCTTTCAGGCCCTAAGAGTTCCCTTAGGTTGGCTCTTTATACAATGGATTTTTAAACTACGAGTTTAAAAAAACTACACTACATTATGATTTATGAGATTTACTAAACTATGACTTGTTTAATGTACCTATCATGATTTTATCGTAATGTTGGGACACATTGAGCCTAGCTCACTTTTCAAAATGTTTTCCCCTTTCAGATACCTTCGGTTAGATACCCAGGATCAAGCAGTTGGAGGATAGGCGCATTTCGTATAGTCCCTCTGAATGTAATTTTTATCTTGCAAGTTGACTTTATTATTGAAACATGAGCTTTTATTTCGAAGTATTTGATTTTATAACTACTACTGCTTTTGCTATTGATATTCTAGATTTTACAAAAGGTTTTAAATTAATTTGTTACTTTTTAGTTTTATATTCATGAGTTGGGTTTTTCTTGTTAAATTATTATACTTTTATAAATGTCATTTGTAACATGTTTTTAATTATCGAATAACATTTTTAGAAAAATGTCTTTAAGAATCATTAATATAATATGCTAAATTTGGTCGAAACGCATAGGCGGGGTATAGAGGGTTACAGAGTATGTCTTAAAAGTAAATCCAAATCAAACCAAAACCACATTTCCTGATAGTCTACACAAAAGAAGAAATTGGCTGTTTAAGTTAGCAAGCAACTATACATGGTCAAATAGCGAACTTGAAAATTAAAAAGAAACTATTAACATTTTCTTAATTTTGTGAGCCACCCTTGATGCTTGATTGCTTGATCGACCCAACCATGGTCCTTCAAGAATTGATGACTGATTTGTGACACAATCCAAGTGAATTGTGGATTCACATGCTGGGCAGTAGTGAAACCAGTGGTCTGAATTTCTTTCCTTCTTACAAGCTTCACAATAACTTTTATCCAAAAAACTTTTATCAAGAGAATCATAGGCGAGCCTGAGAGGATGCTTATCGTACTCGTACGAAATGTTCTGTGTTAGCAAAATGCTGCTGAGTGAAGTTGCAATCAAAGCATCTGTAGCTAGTAGAATAGCCAAAATTACCACAACCAGAACATCTAAACTCATAATTGCAAGACAATGGCTTCATTACAAGATTGAGAGTACGTGGATGGGATTCATGGTTAACAATGATTGGTAAGTATTCACCTTTCATGTTGGTTTGAAACAGGGGATTGTGGCAACTATCTGAGAACTCTTTGCCTTTGTATTCACATATCCTGTCATTACAAGAATTTTCTGTATTTATTTTCTTTTATGAAGTTAACATTTTAAAGAATCTGAAAATCATAAAAAGAGAATATGGCTACAGACTGAGCAGCAGCAACATGCTTGAGTGGTGCAATTCAACCTGCAACGAAAAGGTATGTCAATTTATATAACTCTATGCAAAGCAACTGCATCACCCTGATAAAGTATACCGATCAAGAATTGAAACGGCAGAAGATCTACTTACTACTTGCTTTCTGATTTAGAGTTCCAGGGAAACCGAAGCCAAAACTCAGTCTCTTCCTCAGAAGTCGACATCCTGCAGGCTGCAAGGACCGAGATAATATTGAAATTGAAAGGTGAAAGAATGGATTGTGTAACTACGTATACATTACCAAAACAAGGATATTTTCAATACTCATACCTTCTTCAATGATGGCCTTTCATTAGTAAGTATCCTTGAGCTGGAACTCTTCAATGTGAACAGCCTATGAAGTAGACGGACGTAATTAGTCTAGGAAAATACAAGCTTAAGGACTCGTTCTATTGCAACATATTCAATTATTTGCATCCACTCGTTGCATTCAACAGATTCAAAAGTTCTTGTTATTACTTTTTAATCAAACACCTACAGAAGATTAGTAATTTGCAAAATGAATCCTCAGGCAATTAGTTGGCTGCTTCTGCCATATCTTTCTCCAGTTTCCCACACCTATGATGGTCAGTTCATCTAAGCAAGGGAATGCCACCTACAAAATTCACTTTATTGTGTCAATAACCGGAGGTAATATTAATGAAACTGAGAATAAAACAATGGAATTTACGACTAAAAATTACTAGAGAAAACAGCATCCACTACATGAACAGGGCAATCAAATATTTAAGGAAAAAGAAGATACAGAGAAAGGTAAGGGAGTATCACCTTTTGATCGAAGAGAGTCAGAGAGGGAATCTCCGAGTTGATTCCTTTTGCACCGGAGACGAATGTTCTTAGTGTAGGACAACTTTCTATACTAAGACTTGTCAACAAGGGGAATTCAAAGTAATTTCCATGGCAGAATCTAGTCAGTTTAGGAAGGTTTTTGAGCAATAGAAATTCTAGTACACGAAACTTCTGGTTCATCATTTCTTCTTTGGCTAATCCTTCCAAAAAGATCAATTTTCCACATTCTCACAGTTTTCGACCGTTAGCTTCTTGAGATGCACAAAACTTTTAACCATAGAGGACGAGAATAGGCAGTTCAAATTATGACAGCCCCTAATAGTCAAGCATGTTAAATTTTGGGCATAAGAATGTGTGGCCAGAAGCTTGTGTTTCCATGCTCGCTGAATGCTGATTGAAGATAGCTCCAAATCCTCCAAGCCCGGGAAAACCTGCATACAATATATATAGTCTTGAATGTATGGAGAAAAGTTTCACTTTTTGATGGATGTGAAAAGTTTCACTATTCATCAACTACATTATGCACCAATCTGTGTAATTGTTTTCATAGTATTTAGTTTGGAAAAATCAAATATTTAAACTCAATTTGCAATTTTATCCTATAATTTTTATTCAGAAATGTTAAATTGTTTATCCGTATGATGAACATTAGAACTTCTCATCTTATAAAATTTTACCATTTTTCTTTTGAAATGGTTCATACCTTTTCTACAAACAACTGTTGAATGACAGCATTAAGGTCGCCTTCCCAGAGCCCTACATATTCACCTTTAGTTGATTGTAGTCCATGAAGCTTTGGTGTGCTTAACTTTCCCTTTGTGAAAAGTTCCATCTTTGGACAATGTCTCATGATTACTTCTTCCAAGGAAGGAAATACTAAGGTATAATTCCCTGTGCAGAACCTTGATAGGATTGGAAGGCGATCAAGTTCTAAAGACTTGAGTTGGGAGAAAACGATGCCATTCATGAGTTCATCAGTTGTTGAAGCTATGATTTCTTTTAACATTTGGCAATATATAACACACATTCTTGTGAGTTGGGGAAAATATAGGTTTGGAAGTGCTCCATGCCATATCTCCTTCATATTTCTGTTCCGAATCACATGTAATTCTTCTAAATTGGGGAATGCTTCCTGAAAAATTTGGAAAAATGTATGTTCAATAAAAAATTGTCTAAACTGATGCCATATCCCCTATTTTACCTCAATTTTATAGGTTCATCAATTGGGTCCAATCGCAAACTTCATCAAGACTGAATTTATGTCACAAATTCTAACAGATGCATATGTATTAAGTTAGTTTTGTGAACTGTTACCTCAGTGACCCAAAACAGGGGTTGTTGAACAGAGATCAGAGGTTGGCTCTCTCCTTGTGTTTCTCCAAAGTTGATATACCCCCTAGCCAAATTCTCTACTTTGCTGCAATCACTCACCACCAATTTTTCCAAGGATGGCCATTCCGTAGTATGCACCTTGGAGTAGAAACCCTTCAACTTGGGTAGCACTCCAAGATACAACTTTGTTATTTTAGGAAACACAAACTTGGTGATTGATTTGAGTTCGACCGATTGGGCGGATGTTTCTGCGTGTGACTCATTGGAATTGCGTAAGTGATCGTCATCAGGTCCAATTATTTCTTCAACCGACTTACATTCCTCTATTACCAGAGTTTCTAGCTTTTCAAGTATTTTAACCATACTAAAAGGTAAAATATTTGAAAGTCTTTCACAGTCTTTCACCAAGAGGAAGGTCAATTCATTAAATGAATTCATATTGGGTTTATCGTGCCATATCTTTCTGCACTTCCCAATACCTTGAATGGTCAAATGGATCAAGTTAGGGAACACAACCTGCGGAAATTATTTAAGTTAATAAATAATTTGTAGAGGATATATATATATATATATAAAGAGTACCTCAATTTGTAGAGGATATAAAAGGATACAAAAAAAACGAAGAAAATCACCTTTTGGTTGAAGAGGGTTGGGGAACCAGTCTCTGAGTTTTCTCCATGACAGAATGTCCCTAATTTTGGAAGCCTACTGAGCTCCAATAGATTTAGTTTAGTGAACCAGTAAGCCTCAGTTATCCCTTCTTCTTCTGCTGTCGCTTCATCTGTAAAGATCACTTCTTCTAAGTTGTCGCAATCGACAAGGCGAAGTTGAACGAGTTGCACAAAATTTTTTCTTGAAAAGGATGGAAATATATATTCCAAATTGTGGCAACCCTTCACAATTAAGATTCGCAACTTATGAACACTAGAGGATATGGCACTGTGTGGTACATCTGGCCATAATTTCTGGATGTTAGTGGACGATAGCTCCAACCAATCCAAATTGGCACACAAAACCTGCAACCACAATCCTCATTGCATGAATTAATGTGATTGTTAAAAGTCAAAACACTAAACAGAAAATAAGAGAAGGGAGAGACCTTATCATTGAAAAAGGGTGTCTTTTCTCCTCCACCTACCTCCCTTGTACATGCCATTGCGTACATCTTTGGACAGTCATCTACTTCAATTGTTATCAAAGATGGACAATGCAGAGTAATACTTCCCATGCAAAAACTTTTCAAATCTGAACATGACTCCAGTCTTATCTTCACAAGATTTGGTAAGCAGACTGTATCCATCGCAGTTTCCTCTGCTTCTTTCTTGATAATGTACTCCATCATGGGACATTTTTTAACTCTTATATCTCTCAATTGCACAAGTTCCAAGGCCATGGAAACGCTAAATATGTATTTCAAGCTATTACAATTACACTCAACTTCTAAAAATTTGAGGTTCTTGAAATCTACACTTTTCTCCTTCCATATTGACTTGGAAAATTCGGAAAGGATCAAATGACTGATGCCTTGGTACCCAACCTTCATAAAGAAATAAAACAGAGAAACAAGGGTTAAAGTTATAAAGGATTCAAGGTTACAACTAAACAATACGAAAGGAAGAAAGAGATTCAGGAATAAAATAGAATATAGCTAAAGCTAAATTAAATGAATGCAAAATAGTGAATACCTTTTTTGAATGCAACTGTTGGACAGTGCTGTCAAGGTCACCACTCCAATGTTCTTTACCTTTTCCATATTCTACACTTTGCAACAACGGCGCATTTAAAACTCCCTTACAAAATATCTCCAGCTCAGGACAGCCACTCACTATCACTTCCTCTAAACATGGCAATCCAAATGTGTGGTTGCCTGAACAAAAACTCTGAAGTCGTGGTAGATTCACAAGTTCCAAACTTTTCAACCTGCTGAATATAATGTTGCACGTTGCTTCATCTTCCTCACTTCCAACTATTTCCTTCATTGAAATGCATTCTCTTATGATCAATTGTTTGAGTTGAGACAGACCCTGCACTGCTAGACATGTATCTAAGTATTTCATTCGTTCGCATTCCCACACCTTCAAGGTGGTGAGATTTTGAAACGATGCTGAGGATGATCCTAAGCTCATCAGATTCCTACAATGGTGAACTTCAAGAGTTTCAAGGTTGGGTAGAATGCGGTCCACTTGTACGTCTTGCTTCCATAAGTAATGTTTTAGATTGTCAAGAAGTGTCAGTTCTATTTTTCTAATTGTTGACAGTGTCCCATCATACGTCCCCTTATTACCAGCATCTCCTTCGGTATAGAATAACTCTTTGATTTCACAATCAAGGATACAAAGCTCTTCTAGATTGTAGAATCTTTCAAGGAAAGAAATTTGGAAATCATTATCTGATTTATTACGGTTGCCTTCCACCCTAAAAGCTTTTATTTGATGGAAAAGGTTGTTTGGAAATTGACCACCACTTATCATTGCAATGTAATCATCACCGATTTCCAGATGTTGTAGTTTAGGGATGACCTGAAAACCAATCAAAAAACAATTTTGGAGTCACTATGTTCATCTTCCTATGTTAAGATTTAATATTTTAATTTAAAATAAAGCAGAATAGAGTGGGAAAACGGCAAAAACTAGAGTTGATAGAGAAGGAAAAAGGGAAAAAAAGAATTTTATTTTTATAAATACAAATTGGTAACAACGTGTCAAATATCAAATCACTGAATTAATATTTTAATTAAAATAAAGCAGAACATATAGAGTGGGAGCGAGAGGGCTTATACCTTTTCAACCAAGAAAAGTGGTGGTTGGGAGTCAAGTTGTTGGTTGTGAGTGATGAGTTGTGTACCAAATATCTTCATTTCCCCACACTCGTATGCTTTTAACTCTTTTAACATTGGCCACTCTGTGGTATGCCTACCTGGGTAGAAACATTTGCATTCTCGTAGCCCCCAAAGCCAAAGGTAGGACAGCTGATCAAACTCGAAAGTGACAGTAGTTTCCGAATCCAATCCTTCCTCTACTTTGGAAATAATCTCCTCCACTCCACAATGGGCTATTATAAGACCACTGAGTTGTGGGAGATATCTGGCTACTGAGGCTGGAAATACATTCTTCAGACTCGCACAATTCCAAACATATATTCGATGTAGATTTTTAAATGAAAAAATGTCTTTGGGACCGTTTTTCCAAATATATTTCAAGTTTGATAAATGTGAAATGTCGATTTCTCTTAGTTTGGGAAATGAATTTGGTGGAAGTGGGTTCTCCCATATCATCTTCAACTTTGTCAAGAAGGAAATACTCATTTCCTCCAAACTGGAAAATGCAACCTGCACTCATCATGCCAAAATAATGAAATTAGATGCTAGCGCTACAAATACATCTATGACTGCGCGTGTGTTTGCGATTGCATATATATAATTTTGAAGGCACACATTTTGATATATATTTTAAAAATTTGGAGCACATATTTCGTGAAAATCATTTTTGTGGTCTGGATCTTCAGTTATGTTTGCTATATTTAATTTGAATTTTGTATAATGTAATATATAAAAATATTTAATTATATTTGATAATGTGTTAAAATTAGGAACTTATGAATGCTAAAACCAATAATTAAGCTACCTTATTGCCGAACAAAACATGACTACAGATGCGTCGGTTGCCTTCCATTGAAGATCTGTATATGAAACCCTCCAATTCGGGACAGTTGTCTACCGTCAGTGACTTCATGGCTGGAAATTCAATAACTTGAATTTGATAGTCAGAGCAAAATCCAATCAGATGCTGAAGATCCTCTAGCTTTAAAGACTTTAACTGAGGAAATAATGATAAAGTTATAGCAGCCTGGGTTTCTTCTTCTATTTCCTCCATAAAAATGATCTCTCTTAAGCAGTAGCACCCAATTATCTCAAAGTCTGTGAGATGCACTAGACATTTAGCCATAGAAAATGAGAATAGGTGTTTTAAGCTTCCACAGCCCTCGATTTTCAATGTTTTTAACTTCTCATAAGTGCATAAAGATATACTTGAAAGCTGATTGTGCCATACCCTCGTAACATTAATCGACTTCAGCCACAAATTCTCTAAGTAAGGGAACGATATCTACAACCATACAAATGATTTCAGGAAATATTTGAAATAAAAATTTAAAAGACATTGAATTGTAAATACCTTTTTATTGAAAAGTGGCAACTCATGTTGAGGTAATAAGCTGGTAGCACCGGGTTCGTGTTGAGGGCAAAAGCTAATGAGCTTAGGAAGATCATGCAGTGTCAGAGACTGTAATTGAGGAAACCCATATTCATCATTGATAATGTATTCAGTATCTAAACCATTTTGGATATGCAGATTCTTCAACTGCGATATGCTTTCCTCATCTATTAACTCCCGCAATGCAATCTTCACGCCTTTGAGTTCATCCAAATGTAAATCTTCAGTTTTTTTCAACAACTTCTTAATTCCAAGATCCAAATCATCCATGCCTGTGTTTAGCCTCAGTTTTAGGGTTCTTGAATATTGGTAGCTGCGAAACCGCTCCCACTCCCATTCCTTTCCTATAAAAATCTTGCATCTTTCCAATTTCTGCAACACTTGAAAGAAGTCGTGTGGTGTCGCCTTAGCATCCGGGATTTGAACTTCTAAGGTGGACAAACGAGACAGTGCATATAGATCAGCAAGAGTGGCACTGCTTTGTCCCCATTGAATAGAAGTCCCACCCATATATAATTCTTCTAATCTTGACAAACTTGACAACACACCGTCTGAAATTGTTTTGAGCTTAGCACAACGACTCACGTCTAACAACTTTAGCTTCACCAGTTGCCCAATTTCTTTTGGTAGAAATCTAATATCAGATTCCAAAAGGCTAAGAATTTCCAAGCTCTTTAGCTCTCCAATAATGCTAATATTATCTCCCAGTTTGCAGTGATCTAGGCACAATGTGTTGAGGCTTGTTAGTAGACGAATTGATGAAGGTAAAGAAGAAAATTGCATTCTAGCCAAAGCTAAGACTTTAAGATTTGTTGCTTTCTTGAAGAAGTCATCCGACGTCAGGAAAAGATCCTTGCTAAACAAAAGGAAAAGAGAAAGTTGTGGACAATTTAACTGGTCAGGAAGACTGTTGAGAGTAGGATATTCCAAACAAATCTTGTTGCACTTTTTCATTGATTCTTCATTTGGCCAATCCATCATAACATCATCATTTTTCAAGGAAAACACATGACTGTCCTTGGAAGCCATTGATTTGGCCACAATATAAGTAAGATCATGCACATCAAAGCATTCATCATTGGTGTTACTATCAAGCAACAAACAAGATGCTTTCAGGGTACTCATCATTGTTAACAACGCATCTAGTCCTTCTTTCAGGGTGCCCACTCCCTTAATTAAACCCAAACCAATTGCATATCTCAACAAGTCTTCAACTCTAGTGTTACGACGCAATAGACTGCAAAGCAAGAAAACCTGCTTGAGGTCTTCACCCCATAGCTGATTGATACTCAATTCAATAGCAGAATATACCTCAGCAGATATCTCGCTTGGATTTTCTGAGTAAGGCCTCTGTAGCTGTCGTAAAGCCTCATTCCAAACAAATAAACTTCTTTTTTGCAACGCCCTAGCAACTGTGGCAATGGCAAGCGGCAATCCTGCACATCTTTTGGCTACCTCAATTGCTGTAGATTGCAGCTCTTTATCGCTTTCAAAACTGTCCCCAACCATCTTCTTAAAAAACTCCCAGGCTTCTTCTTCATCTAAATCACCAAGCTTAAAAGTCTTTGTAGCACCCATTCCATTGCTTAGAACATTTTCATTTCTTGACGTCAACAGTATCTTGCATCCTTTGTGTTGACTTCCAAATGGAATTCCGACTTCCTCTAGGTCCAGTTTCTTCCAAATATCATCCAGAATAATAAGAACCCTCTTATCCTGATTCTTCCCTTGATTTAACCTTTCACGTAATGTACTAGCTCTTACAACTGTACTCTTTTCTTCGATCTTCAAACCCAAATATTCTGCTATTTCGTCTTGGATTTTCTGAATGTCAGGTGTCCGAGATACAGTGACCCTAACCACCGAATCAAATGACTTAGCCTCCTGGAGTTGTTTATGAACTTCTCTGACTAGTGATGTTTTCCCCACGCCAGGCATCCCGTACACTCCGATCATGCTCACAGTAGAATCTTTCAGTGACTCCATGATTTCATCGACAACCTTTTCCCTTGATTTAAAGGACTCAAAGTCTGTACCCACTATGGGTTGTGGAAGATCACGGTAGCCCACGCTGCTAAATTGACATTCTTTGACAAGCTCATCAAAAGCTGCGGCATCTTCTTCCGCTTTCCTGCTAAGCTTGTGTCGAGACTTGATGTTGGGACAGAAGCCAAAGAAGCACTTGTTTGCTTTGACTTGAAGATCATCCACTTTATCCTCCTCTTCAGCGATAACCTTGTCCACTCTATCGCACCAACCCTGAACATCCGCTTTAATCTTCTGCACGTTCCTTTCTGCAACAAAAATATCTTGCTGCACGCTTGATCTTTTGTCCATCAACTTCTGAAGTTTGTCTTCGAAATTCTTGACGTATCTCTGGTAGAAAACTACATATCTGATATGACGTTTTGCTTCATGAAAGATACCCTTTGCAGTTTCAGAAGAGATATTGGCAGCAGCACCAGTAGCAATTGCTTCCATTTCTTCTTCTTTTTTTCTTTGGGGGAGGTCCGAATGGAAAGCAAACAAACAAAATGAACAATGGATACAATAAAGGAGAATCAAGAAAGAAAATACTGAGAAGAAGCAGGCAAGAAAGAACAACCTTAAAATCAGGGAATGAATGAGACGAAGGTTAATAGGTAAAACTCAACGATGAAATGAAAATTGTGCTGAACACTCGCTCGGAAAAACTGAATTTCCAATCAAATTCTGTAACCCTTGGGCTGGATGGTTTCTTTCATAATATTGAAGAAAATGAGGTAGAGAGATAGATTAAAAAAAGACTAAGCACTAAGTATTTATTTAGATATGTTTAATGTTTGTTTTGTTGTCTAGTGGATGTTTGTTTGCATTTACCAAAAGTCTTGAAAATATCACACCTCACATGCCAATCGTTTACCAAAAGTCTTGAGAATATCAAAACTCACATCGATTTGATATAAAATTGTCAGATTCTTCCATGGATTTGTTTATTTTCATTCGATAATTTCGCACGTGGAAAAGTGAGAATGGGAGGAAGTTTATGCATTATTACTTGGTGTAAAGTTGGGAGAAAATAAATATTTTTAAAAATATATGTTAAATTTTTTTAGAAATAAATAAAATATTTATCGTTATTTAATAAGTGTTTGTGGAATTATTTTTCTTAGATTGTATTTTAAATACTATTCCAAAATGTATATAATATATATAAAATGCCTTTTTAATATTTTACCTAATTACTTATTTTACAAAAATATAATTATAATATATAATAATAATTATATTTTTAATCAATATAATAGATATATCAAGTAAATTAAAAAAGTGTATAAATGTAATTATATTGTTATATGTAATTATAAAACTTTAAATTTATATAAATGTACAAATTGTATTAATTAACATAAAAATAGCATTTATTAAATTGATCTCTACCATTTTATTTTTTTTATTAATCATGAAATAAATTATTGAAAGATTATAATGATTTTTAAAAATGTTAAAGATAAATTATTATTTGGTGGTTAAATGGGGTGATATTTTATTTAAAAGTTCTTTGTTCGAGTAATTATATCCAGGGACAAAGCTATGTGTAAGGTTGGGCCACTTTCCCCTATTTTTTTATTATTAAAAATTATATAAGGAGAAATATGTATTTAGACCTTCAAATTTTGGTTTATTTTGATTTGCCCCTCCCATTTTGGTTTAGTTTGATTTTACCCCTTTCATTTTCTATTGTTAGTTACATCTTGTCTCTTGAAATAGAATTCTGACTACGTCTGTGGCTGTGTCTACAATGTGTGTATCAATATATGTATTAGATATGTATTATCAATGACTGAAAAATATTCTAAATAAATATTATCTCAATTATCTTAAACTATAAAAAAATATTGAAACATAAAGTACTTCTAAATTTATTATCAATTGAACCCAAGGAATAGCTTCGTTGGTTGTAGGTGTTTTTCCCCATAAGTAGGGGTGAACATTCGATCGAGTGGAGTCCAAAAGTTTCAAGTTATTCGAGTTGACGAGTCTTATTTTATAGTTCAAACTTAACTTGAAAATTTTCCTAATGAAGTCGAGTTATTTGAGTTTCTATACAAACTAAGTTGTAATTATTTATAGTATTATAGTACAATTTTATTTCAATTTTTTTGAATTTCTCTAACCATATACAATGTGTGTGCGTATATACGCACACACATATTTCTTCATATTCTTTTCACATTACAATGTTATTTAATATATCACATACAATTTAAAATTGTAAAATATATTTACAATATTATATTTCAAAGAAGGTATTTTGAGGATAAAAGACTAATGTGAGTATAAAGGAGTCGAAGAATTGATGTGAAAAAAGAATTTGTAAACAATTGTAGCCAAAATACTAAATTGAGTATAATACAAAGTTAAATAACTAAATTAAAAAAGAGAGTACATTTTTAGTAAAAAATAAAAATTGAAATTACATAAGATATTTTATAGTGGTAGGGGAGCATGTGGTTTAAATTTGGTCAAATAAAATGAAGGATGAATTGAAGAAATACGAAAATCATGCAAAATTGAGGGATTAAATTGAAAAAAATAGAAAATTTGTTATCAAAAGTGAAATTGAAAGTACATATGTATTCTATGATGGTTTAGGAGCATGTAGTTTAAATTTGGTGAAATTTTAACTGAAAATGAAGGAGGAATTGTAGGAATAAGATATTAGGGACCAAATCGCAAATTAGTCAAAATACTCATTCAAATTTTTAGTTTTTCTAGTTGCTCAAAATTTTGAAATTTCAACTCGACTCAAATTCGAAACTAGAATTGACAATTCGAGTTAACTCGAATAACTCGAAATTGGAAGGAAAAAAATGATTTTTTTAGTAGAGTCAAGTTTTACTCATCCCTACCCATAAAAGGCATAGGTTCAAGCAATAATGATTGTATAGGCGCGTGTAATATATGAAAATAAAATTCAATTATCATCAAAAATTGAAAAAAATAAATAAGGAAAGAAAGACTAAGGACTTCTCCACTCTTAATCAATTATTATTATTATCTTTCTTTGATTTTAATTTAATAAAAAATTGAAAAGTATAAATAAAGAAAGAAAGACTCAAGGACCTCTCAAGTCTTTATCAATTATTCTTACTATCTTTCTTTAGTTTTAGTTTAATAAAAGAATTGAAAAGTGTAAATAAATAAAAAAGACAAAGGTCCTCTCAAGCCTTTATCAATGATTCTTACTATGTTTCTTTGCTTTTAGTTTAGGCTCAGATAGCATAAGTCCTTATTAACCTTGTCCACTCTATCGCACCAACCCTGGACATCCGCTTTAATCTTCTCCACGTTCCTTTCTGCAAAAATAATATCTTATTGCACGCTTGATCTTTTCTGCAACAATAAGTTTGTCCTCGAAATTCTTAACGTATCTCTGGTAGGAAAGCCCATATCTTATATGACGTTTTGCTTCGTGGAAGATACCTTTAGCTGCTTCGGAAAAGATATTGGCAGCAACATCTGTAGCAATTGCATCCATTTCTTTTTTCTTTTTCTTTGGAGAGGTCTGAATGGAAAGCAAAACAAACAAAATGAACAATAGAGAGACAATAAAGAGAACCAAGAAAGAAAATATAATTACTTATTTAAAAAAATATAATTATAATTTATAATAATACAAATTATATTTTTAATCAATATAATAGATATATCAAGTAAATTTAAAAAATTTATAAATGTAATTATATTGTTATATGTAATTATAAAACTTTAAATTTATATAAATGTACAAATTGAATTAATTCACAGAAAAATAACATTTATTAAATTGATCTCTACCATTTTATTTTTTTATTAATCATGAAATAAATTATTGAAAGATTATAATGATTTCTAAAAATTTTAAAGATAAATTATTGTCATAATGTCCTTTTTATTTTAAAAGTTTTTTTTTTCTTTTAAAGAAAGTTCATTTGTGTCTTATAGTTTGAAATCATTTAATTTATTTTGGAGTCGCCATCAACTTTTATTTTATTTCTTTAGATTATTGGTCACCTTATTATGCCAGAAGTTGCCATGTTGTGCTGAAGAAAAAATGGCTTCAGAATCGTAATCGACATGATAATTGGCCTGTAATATTCATTCCATCGTATGTTTAACCAAGATAAAATTACCATCATCGATTTCAAAATCCACTTTTCGAACGCTAGAACCAGCTTGGTAGAAGGAAGACTGATAGGAATGACATATTTGAAGCATATATATGTTTCACCTGTGGAATTGTACTCATATTAGGTGTTGGAACATGTGTGAATCCCAATCAGGTCATGTATCTTCTTGGAGAAAACTGTCGTTCTAGCTCAAATATACTAAACTCTACCGGATCACATCCTATCCCCCCTTTAGCACCATCGTATTATTGGATATCGGCGACTACAGTCTTCCATGTCATTAGGTGTGCTAAAGCATTCACTTGATCTGGCTCAACCAATACATAAATTATTCGAAGGATGATCGAAATCCATAGTAAATAAAGATAACAGATCTTTTTACTCTTATTCTTTCAAGCATGTTGCAGAAGACTGCAAAGAGCGAAACGAAAACGATCTCGGGGTGATATCTGATTCCTCCTTTCATGAGTCCTATTGCATTGTCATATTAAACCTTGAACCCAGGGATCTAAATAGCGGTCGTTATATAGCGGAGACCGGCATTACCAGATAAATGAGTAGTCGATTTTCAAAGGAATGTCCAAACAATTTAAATAGCTGTTTGCTTAAATTTCTGTTGGTTGCTGCCAGTGAATTCATTGTTGTTCTTAGGGGCAGATTCAGAAACTAAGATATGAGAAATGATTATCAAATATATAAAAAAATATATTATTTGGATAAAGTAGGATATCATGGGGGAAATTATAAAAAAAACAATCTAACTCTTAAAATTAAAATATATGATCATAAAGGGTTAAAGTCTACTAGAAGTTCCTCTACTACATTAAAAATCCATTTTAGGCCCTTTACTAATAAAATAGACATTTTAGTCCTTGTACGTTTGAAAAGTGAATATTTTGATCTAAACTTAGTTTAACAAAGATAATGAGTTTAAACATTCCTTAGATTTCTATCAATTTAAAAATCAAGTGAATTGATCAGTCTAAGAAAAATATAATTTCGTCCATCTATAATTCCATCCAATCATAGTAATACACACGTCTATATTCTAGTGAAAAACAGTAGTGCTGTCATGGATATATTTTATTTGTTGACTTTTGAAAAGTATTTGGATTAATTTTTTTTATTTTTGAAAATGATCAATTTATTTAATTTATAAATTGATAATAACTTTAAAAATATTTAAACTAATATTTAAGTTAAACTACACCTGCAAATTCGCTTCGACCTCCTGAGCGCAAATCCAGCCTTGATTTCACTAGAAAAAGCTCTAAACTTGACAAATCGATGTCAGAATTCTTTGATTTTTCACCCTTCAATCTCTATCGT